GAGGACAGTGGGATCAACATCAAGCCTGAGGATTGCGTTCAAGAACAAAAGCTACTCTCGTCGTTCTGTGTTTACTTCAGTGTCCACATTTGATATATATATATATTTAATTTTGTTGACTGCAATTTACAAAGAAATATATTAATACACAGACGCAGATAGATAGATAGATAGATAGATAGATAGATGAAAAGACTATGATAGATAAAAAGTCTAAGTTGGATGGATAGGTAGATGGATAGATGTGAACAGACCCAAATATAGATAGATAGATAGATAGATAGATAGATAGATAGATAGATAGATAGATAGATAAAAAGTCTAAGATGGATGGATAGGTAGATGGATAGATGTGAACAGACCCAAATATAGATAGATAGATAGATAGATAGATAGATAGATAGATAGATAGATAGATAGATAAAAAGTCTAAGATGGATGGATAGGTAGATGGATAGATGTGAACAGACCCAAATATAGATAGATAGATAGATAGATAGATAGACAGATGAAAAAAAGACTAAGATAGATAAAAAGATAAGTTGATAGGTAGATGGATAGATAGACAGATAGAAAGATAGATAGATAGATAGATAGATAGATAGACATAAAAAGACTTTGAAATAGATAGATAATAGATAGATAGATAGATAATTTTAAAATATGAATTGTAGATAGAAATATATATATACTAAATTTGGAAATCATACCTTTTAATGAAAAATAAACATTGAGCGCTGCGAGTTATTTTAAAATTAAAATTGTATGGTGAAAATGGTCATTTACTAAATGTTATCGATAGATAGATAGATAGTTTAATGAAAATAAACATTTTAGCGCTCTTTTTGTGAGTTAGGACTTTAACATAATTACAAATTCTATGTTGTGTTGATAGGACTTCAATTCTATACGGATTACTAAGACCAGATAGATAGATAGATAGATAGATAGATAGATTTTAACATATTTCAAATTCTATGTAGTGTTGATAGGACTCACCTACCAACGGATTACTACACATATAGATAGATAGATAGATATTAAAATATGGCGATAGATAGATAGATTTATTTGCATATCAATAATATTATAGTCTTTGTCTTGCAGGCATCTTTCTAAAGAATTGAATCAGAATATCAGAATAGGCTACAAGGAAATAACCCTGTCTTCGATTTGAAATATCTTGTGGAACATCGAGGTAAAAAAAACAAAAAAAACATTAAAAAAACTCAGCTCGACGATGAACGAGAAAATACGTCGGTATATTAATGTAAATGCCGAAGGCAATTCGTGGTTTGTTACCTTTTACAACTATCAAAGAATTATATTTTCTAAAGAAAAAAGAAAATGTAATTAAAAAAAAAACACTCTTGGACGCCTGTAAGCGATAATTACAAGATAAGTAGTCTGAAAAGGTGGCGGAACTGATTCTCATTTCCAGAAGCCTCGACTCCTTGGCAATTGGCTGCATGGAATGGGCGACTCGCTGTGAAACACCTGAAATCGGTTTTATGACGAAATGCTATGGTGTTTGTTCGTATCGGATGAATATATCGATGCTTTGCGCATGCTTAATATAACTTAATCTTTCGTTTTTCATTTTTTTATTAAATAATTGTTTATTGTGGATTGGATACGTCAAAGACCTTTCTTTTTCACTCTAAGGTTTACAAGTATTACTAAAGTCTCACATACATGTTCTGCCTGGTGTCAGACTTGTTGAGAAATATCGAAACTGTCGTCTGTATACGACTGCTTTCTCAGGGCCAAGATTAACATGGCTACCGTGAATGAAGGCTGTTGGTCTGAGAGAAAGTCTCCCCTTCATCGAATCTCATGGGCTGACGTTACGGAAACCGAACGAACATTACTAAATAACAGAAACTACACATTTGAAGACTTTCAACAGTAGCAACAACTAAAATGGTTAGCATATGTAACGCAAAGAGAAAGTAATGAGATAATGAAGCTGTTGACGTTCCACAGTACTTCAAGCAAAAGATGAGGTAGGAAAACCTCTTCAATAATTGAAAAAATAAAGTGTAAGTTAGTGAAATTGTGAAAACTATTTCACCAAAATAATGCTTTTAAAGAATAGTTTTTAATAAATTTCGACCAACAGTAATGTCAACTCTTCGGACAATGAATGCCGAAATTCTTCGTATAATATACTAGCAGCATGGCTCGGTATTGCCCGTGCTTGATTCAAAAATCGTACGACTCATACAGCAATCAGCTATCACTTGACTTAAAATATTTTTGCCCTTCCTTGCCTTTTTTAAAGGAGAGCCCTTTGTCGTGCTGATGTTGCTACATGCCTTACTTCTGCCTATCTCACACTGCGAATTTTTTTTCTAAGCTCTATACTAAACATTAAATCTGTTACGAAAAAAGAACTAAACAAAATGAACACAAAACGATCAGCTTTAAAAAGGACTCGTAATTGGAAAAACCGAATGAAAAAAGAATGTTAACAACAAATACTTTTTCACACCCAACCCAGCTCTGCGGAATCAGAATCAACGTTGAGTTTAAGCAAACGAATGAGCCAATTGGAGTAAAGTGCCATGCAGATTTAAATTTTTCCCACTTGTGACGAATGCAGCTATCGATTTTTTTTTGCATGCTAGCATGCTAGTTAATATTCGTGTCAGTCAGCTGTTGGCTCTCACGCTGGCCAATAGAATCTCTCTACCTATTCGTGGCAGCCAGCTATAGGCTCTCACTCTGGCCACTAGAAAATGGCCGCAAACTACATGAAAAGTGCCGTAGAAGCATGAAAAAAATCGATTCTTTCCACTATCGATGAGAGTTGGGAAATGCAGTCAGGTCTTGGCCTTCCCACTTATTTGGAGCATGTGCATGTAAATTTTGGTGCAAATCCGTCGAAAATTGCGGCCATGCATTCGTTACACACACACACACACATCCTGCCTTTTATAGACAGAGATAGGACCCAACGCTAAAGACGCCGGTAAAATCGGAATTGGAAATCGGAGAGTGGAGTTCCAATTCCATCGGGTTAGTTATACCCACCTACTTTCCAAATACACTTCCATCACTTCTCTTCCCAGCCAAAGGTTAATTACCAAGACTTGTAAATCATTACTTCCCGAAAAATCCTTACATCGGCATAATATTCAGATTTTTTGCTATCGGCGTAGAAAAAAATGTATATTTATTATTAAATAAGTTATAGCTCCTTTATTTTCATGTTGAGCACTATTTTATTAGCCCACAGAACTCAAGGTGCAATACATACATACATATATATATATATATATATATAATTTATTTTAGGATATTACACCGAAAATATCAAAATCGCTACACAATTGTAGTCGAGTTTCGATGCGTATCAATGCATTTCATCAGGCGATTGTAAATTATAGCACACAGTGACACACACACACACACACACACACACACACACACACACACACACATATATATATATATATATTAAATAAAAACAGACCACTTTAAAGTTCCATGTAAT